ACGGCAATGATGCTGATCACGCCGGTGACGGTGATGGTGTCTACGCGTCGGCGATGAAGGTTTTGGAAGGATTTCGACATGCGCGCGACGCCGTCGGAAGCGAGTGGCCAGCATGGAATTATTTGACAGGGGTTGGAGGCCCATCTTTCGAATGATTTCGACGCGCGCGCGGGAAGACCGTGTGGCTGAATGTGATGAACATGTTGGAACAAAAACGATGGTTGACCTACGAATTTGCCAGGGCACGCGCAGAACCTTCATGCAACAACATGTTGCAAAACCGTTGTTTCCATTTTTTCTGACAATCGAAATCAAAATCCCCCTGAAACCGGATTTTTGTGACTGGTGTCAGTATGCGCGCGCGACGACGCGCGCGCGTGCATTGCGCCCGATGTGTTGCAAGAGGTGCTGGGTATTTGTTAGTCTGTGATGAACAAGTGTGCGCGCCCTGTTCTTTTTGCAAAAGGGTGGCGGGGCTAGGCGATACCAGCATGTGTGGGATGGCATGAGGTCATATTTACATCGAGCGGCGGGGCAGAGTAACATTGTCCATTGTAATACAGAAGGTGGGGGGCAGGGTGGATGTCCTTTGTTTTGTAAATCGGAGAAACTACGTGATGAAATGAACTAGCCTGTTCCACTCGCGATCATTTTCCATTTTCGTGCAAACATCCCACCCACCCACAGGCAATTTGTGTTGTGGCGACTGCGCTCGCTGCTTGCCGCTGATTGGCGCATCGCCGCAGCCGCGCTTGCGCGCGCTGGCTCGCGAGCAGAGCGACCAGCTACTCTGGTGCGACCGACGCAGCCGCTGTGGCGCCGACCGTTTGGCATTTCCGAGCGTGTTGTTCACGCCGCGCTGACGCTCGGGGTCGCCAGTGCGAGTCGGTGCTTCGAGCGGGCGCGGTATCATGGTGACGTCGACATTGGCAGGCACGATGATGATCGTAGGGATGGTGGTGACGACGAGGACGATAACGACGGCAACGCCGAAAACGGCCCCGGTGCTGATCATGCCGATGGCGATGATGGTGTTTATGCGTCGGCGATGAAGGTTTTCGACAACTTTCGACATGCGCGCGCGGTCGACGAACGCAACCGGCCCGCATGGTGTGATACGACAGGGATCGTGCCCTCCCCCCCCACACTTGCGCAAGGGCCTTCGATTATGCTGTGCAATCAGCGTGGTGCAATCAATGTTGAATATTCGAGGCGGCGATGGGGTGGCGACGGGGCGGCAACGGGGCGGCGACGGCGAGCATGGAGCCATCAGTTTTCGAGCCGCGCCCTGACGACGGTTTGGCGACGAGGCGGCGACGGGGCGGCGACGGCGAGCACAGAACCGCCAGACCGCCAGCCAGGCCCAGCTCCCCAGAAGAAAAGTAAGACCCCCCCAAAAAGTGCAAGCATTGTTTGTGGACTCTCTACATATGTGTGCATGTGTATGTGTTTACATACATATGTATGTGAGTATGTGTATGTATATATATGTGGATATATGTATGATTATGTGTGTATGTGTAGATACGGCTATGTATGTTTGTATATATGTATGTGTGTTTGTTTGTATGTATGTATGTGTGTATGTGTATATATGCATGTATGTATGTATGTATGTATGTTTGTTTGTATGTATGTATGCATGTATGTACGTATGCATGTATGTATGTGTGTATGTATGTGTGTATGTATGTATGTATGTATGTATGTACGTACGTACGTACGTACGTACGTACGTATGTATGTATGTATGTATGTATGTATGTATGTATGCATGCATGCATGCATGCATGCATGCATGCATGCATGCATGTATGCATGTACATATGTATGTTTGTATGTACGTATGTGTGTATAGATATATGTGTGTATGTGTATATATATATATATATATATATATGAGTGGACCTGCGGGGGGGTGCTGATTTGGGGGACACGGGATGGCATGGGAGCTCCGGGCGGCCCTTGAGGCGCCCAGACGGTTCCAGACGCCGCCCGGACCAGTCCCCCCCCCCCAGAATGCATTTGGGCCGCTTTGGGGGCCTCTTCGAGAGGCCCCAATGCTTGCCTCAAGACGGCCCTAAAGACCCCTTAAGGCGGCCTCCATACGGCCAAAGGAAGCCCCAAGACGACCCAACAACCTTCCCAACAACCTTTGTAACAGGGCCGAAGACGCACCCAACAGGGCTCCAAGGGAAGCTGCCAAGAGGGCCAAACCACCAGCCAGCCCCCCAACCCCCCCTAGAGGCCCCCTGGACGCTCGCGCCCTGGGAGGCTCTCCATGGAACCCCAAAGGCCACCCAAACATGCCTATACATTTTGAAACAGCTTCCTCCTGCATGCGTCCGAGAATCTCCAAACTAGCCGCACCCAGTGAGAGGCCCAACTGGACCCAAGGGCCTCGCCAATAGGGCCCGAAACGCACCCAAGATGGCTCCAAGAGAGGCTCCCAAGAACCGATACACCAGCCAGCCCCCAATGACCCCCGACAAGCCCACTGGACGCTCCCCGTGCGCCCCGAGAGACCCTCCATAGAATTCTCAAAGCCCCCCAAACGGTCCAAATGTAGCTTCAAACCAACCCCGGAATACTTCCGAAACAGCTCCCTCCTCCCTGCGTCCGAGAATGTCCCCAAACATGGATGCAGGTTACCAGTCAGCTCGTAATCTTTATCCATGGGAAGATAGGCCCCATGACTACTTCGCCGTCGAGCAGGACAACCAGAAGACAACAGTGCTTCACCACAGCAGCGCTTGCTCAAAACCCTAACATTTTTCACGGTGGCCTCCAGAGGCGTCAGTGAAGAGTTTCCAACATCCAACGACAGTGGATATTTTTGGTTGACAGATTAAGTGGTTCATTCTTTCGGTCGTGCCGAGTGGCTCTTCCTCTTGCCTCTTCGGTGGGTGTAGTTTTTTTTGGTGCGCCAGGAACCCGCAGAGAGCGTTGCCTGGTGACCCAGGGGGCTCGTGCTTTCCCCTTAGGCAGCCTCCCCGAGCCTGGCCCGACGACTTCTGGGGGGTTGATAAGGGGGCACGGGCGCAAAGGGCGGGGGGATTCGTTGTTGCACGAGCAACAGTTAGAACATGCAGCCACTATTCGCAACTGCATGCACGCGCAACTGTTGCAGCCATCGCCCCAACTATCGCAGCGAGGTGCCAGCTCTTGCAAGTACTGGTGCACCTCCTTCCGCGCACACATCTGTGTCAGACTCGCTGCTCCAGCTTCAAGCGATGCGTGGGGGTGGGGGTGGGGGGGGGGGGGGGGGCGAAAGCCGGCAGAGGCGTCCCGCGTCACAGCTCGTGCGCGGGCCGATCATGTAGCAGTCAGCATGCCCAGTCGTCGCCGCCGCAGCACCAGTTTTCTAGCATTCCCTGATCTCCCCCTCCTCTAACATGCTCCTCCCCGTGCTCCTCCACGAAGGCCTGCGCCAATTTCGAGCGCCAAAGTGCCAAGCAGCAGTGCGTTGCTTAGACCAGCCCAGGGATAGCATTCGATGTAGCCCGCAGCTCCTCCGCGCGGCACTCTTCACTTGCTCTCGGCATGAGCTCTCCATATGAGTGACATTTTTTCGCCACCCAGAGCCCCGTGCCCTTGAATAGGGGAACGAAGAATGACATAAACATACAAACTCGGTGGCGCGCGGAGCGCGCCAGGGGATGCGCCGGAGGTGCCGCCAGGGGGCCCCGGCGCCCATCCGAGGAATCCGCGCGGCCCTCGGATTTTCATGCTTATGTCATTGTCTGTTCCCCTAGCTTCACCCTCCTGTCCTCCGCGGACGCTTGTCCTCCTCGAGCGCCCCCCCTGCTGACAGGCAATCCGTTTGTCGAGTCACCCCGGCAGTTCGAGTGCCCGCGCGGATTGCCTCTGCCGTGCCGCGGTGATAAAAAACGTTCCCCGAGCTCTACTTGCTCGCTGGTCTGGCGCTCCAGGAGTGGCACAGCCCTCGCCAACCCCAGCCCCCGTGCCCGTGCGCAGTCTCATGTCGCCCGCCGCGCCGCCGCGCCGCCCGTTTTTTGGGCGCTCGCTCCGAGGAGTTGCACGTCCTCGCCGAGGATGGCCGAAAGTTTATACTTATGTTTTTGTTTTTTATAGGAAAATCTTCCATTCCATGTGTATATATATATATGTATACATGTATGTAGTCAAGTGCCAATGGGGGATGGCTTGCGGCTTGTCAGCTCTGTTTCTGGCGCGCGTCGGGGACAAGCTGGTCCCATGGAAAGTTCTTGGCGAGGCGCAGCTACTGGATAGCAACCCGAGGCAGGAAATCCTTCGGGAACTGACGGAAGGCGCCCGAACCGCGAGCCGCAAACCTCGACGCGAGGAGTCGGGGGGGGGTCGTAATTTTTGTTGCAACTTGGCTCCCCAGACGTCTGGACCTCTTCCCACGGGGTGAATATCCTTCCGGAGTCGTTTTTGACAGTTCTGGAGCCTGGTAAGGGTCTGCAAGGGCGGACAATTTGCAAAATTTGCCGTCGTGTTTTTCGCGACGCAACGTTCGGATTCAAATCTTGACAGGTTTAACTCAGCATCGGCACTAGCATTCCCGTGGTCGAAAACCAGCCTAATCTGGCACTGTCCAGTGTAATCCCGCTTCCCGACCAACCCGGCTCCATCGGACTTAACCCTGGGCTTTATTGCAGGCCTGATCCGGCCTCATCCGGCTTAGTGGTCCCCTTTTGAGTCGGGGCTAGTAGCCCTGAGTCATGCGAAGATCGGGCCGTACGAAAAGGTAGGATAGGGAAAGGGGGGGGGGGGGGGGCGAACTCTGCTGAATGCGCTGGTTTCGGCCCCGCCGCCGGGCCCATTCTTCGATACATGGGCGCCTCCCGGCGCCATGAGGCGCTGGGAAAACCAGCTATGTGAGTTGATTCTCTGTCCTGCCCTTTGCTATCCTACCCTTCGTCTCCCCCGTGAAGACCTCCCAGGAGTTGCCTCCCAAGCGAGGATGTCTTGTCGATCTGCGCCGCACTTGCCCGCCCCCGCCCGACCCCGAGGTGAGGGGCCATCGGCCCGTCGTCGTGTCCGAGGTGCCCGTGTACGTGGCCCTGCGAGACCGGGACGGGAGGTTCTTCGAGGAGCGTGGACATGGGCCCCCCAAACCCAAAGCCACTCGAGTCATGAAACAAGCACGACGGGAGGTTCTTCGTTGTGTTCTGCCTCCGGGCGCCCCTGCCGGGCCTCGGGAGTGTTGAAAAACGATCCAGGATGAAAAGCCAGTCATGAGGAGTGGGACGAGACTTTTGGGTGTCGGGGGTCTGGGAACGGTGCGGTGACCACACCGTGTGGTGAGTCAGTGGGGGTTCGGTGTGAGGGTCGTTCGCCGAGGGCGTCTCGGGCGGCTGGGGCCTCGAAGGTCCGAACGCCGTGCGGTGATGGACCAGGAAGCCAGGTCTTCGGGGATTTCGAGGCAGATGCCCGAGGAACGAATGGGTGAGTCAGGTCGCCAAACACGCTGCTGCAATAGGAGAGAACACTCACTGTGAGTCTGGCTGGAGGGCTGGCGTGAACGGGAATGGCATGTCTTGGTTGCGTCTACGAGCCTTTTGGCGTACGACTTGTGATAGGGGAACGAAGAACGACATAAACATAGAATTTCGGCGGACCTCCGCGTTTTTATGTTCATGTCATTGTTCGTTCCCCTACGTTAGTGAGTGAGTGAGTGAGTGAGTGAGTGAGTGAGTGAGTGAGTGAGTGAGTGAGTGAGCGAGAGCACGGTCTGTCACCACGCCGTTTTGGCCGCGCACTGATCGAGCGATCAGTCCTGGCCGCCTCACCGATCCCTGCCATAGGCCGAAGTCCTCGGCCCTGGAGCGGTGTCTGCGCCCTCGTCTGGCCAAGCCAGGAGGTCAGCCGCAACGCTAGGTGGGGATATAAGATCAGGGGGGGTTCGAGGTTCGAGGGTTGAGGCTTTCGGACGCGTTCGTTGGAGCTCCGCGGTTTTCCAGCCTCGGGGTGCCTTCCGGCAGCTGCGCCTCGTCGAGCGCGTTCCGGGGGTGCCGGGACCTTCCCGAGCGCACGCCGGAGAGACCAAAGATGGCCCGATAGTGAATGGGGCAACGCTAGTGGGGGGGGGGAAGAGGCTCGGGGCGAAGGGGGGCGCATCGAGCTCCAAGCGCCCCTTCATCCCCGATAGGGGCCTGGCAGCCACTCACGCCCAGGGGTGTGCGGATGGGCTGTCGGGAGCCTGGGCCAGTCCCTCGCAGGAGGACGTGTGCACCGATCCTGTACCCGGGCGCTCGCAGAACATGAAGCGCTACATAAGACGTAAACTGTCGGAGGTCCGCGCGCATTTCTCTGATCGGCGTTGGATCTCAATTTCTTCGAGTGGCCAGGTTCGGCGGCGTGCACCCCGGAGATCCCATCGTTGCCTGTTTGATCGAGATTTGGATCGAGATTGGATCGAGATTCCCGTATGCGATTTTGAATTCTGTTTAGATGCTTAGCGACGTCGCTTATCATGGGCAAGGGTTGGCGCGGGGGGGACCCCCTTGAAAGAAAGCAGGGGGCCCCAAAGATAGAGCAAGGGGTACGTCAGAGTTGTTTGCTTTCCCTGAAGGCTTCTTGGAAGCGTCGGGGCTCTTCTCGGGATGCCCATGTCTTCTCAAAAGCCTTCCCTGCATGTTCACCTCGCGCCACCCCCTTGCGCCCGCCGCCAGCAAGGGGGTCCCAGGGGCACAGGAGTGCCAGTTCATGCATCCGCTGTCCTCCTTGATCTCTTCCTCTTCCTCCCATTATCCTCCTCCTTCTCCTCCTCCTCCTCCTCCTCCTCCTCCTTCTTCCCCTCCTCGTCTTTCTCCTCCTCCTCATCCTCCTTTTCTCTTCCCTCCTCCTCCTCCTTCACCTCCTCCTCCTCCTCCTCCGCCTCCTTCTTCCCCTCCTCGTCTTTCTCCTCCTCCTCCTCCTCCTCCTCCTCCTCCTCCTCCTCCTTTTCTCTTCCCTCCTCCTCCTCCCCGCTCTGGGGCCGCCGTTGTCTCGACCTGCCCTCTCCCGAGAAGGAGCACCGAGGATCATGGCGTCGGGATCCAGTCGGACCTCCAGCGGGTTGCGTGCCTCGACGCCTGTGGCTCCCTTTCGAGTTCGGCCCCCTGGGCCTCGTCCTTCTGGGCCCCCAGGGCCATCAGAGGGAGGAGGAGGAGGAGGAGGAGGAGGAGGAGGAGGAGGAGGAGGAGGAGGAGGAGGAGGACATGGGTCCGTGCCGAGCAGGCGCGAATCCGGGGGAGACGCTGGGAGTTCCCTGGGGCCTAGGGCGCCGACCGCGCAGACTTTTCGTGGCCAGACGGGGGCGTTCGAGGAGGCCAGACGGGAGAGAGCGACGTGGGCCGTCGTGCCTGGCGCGGGGAGGGCCTGCCCGGTCACAGCAGGCACGCCAGAGCAGAAGCCGGCCCACGTGCCGGCAGGTGCCGGGGGCAACGTGGGGGGGGGGGCTCCAAACGGTGCGGTGACCACACCGTGCGGTGAGTCGGTGGGGATTCGGGGTCACCGCACGGTTTGGGGACTCGGGTCGTTCTCCGAGGACGTCTCGGGCGACGGGGGCCTCCGAGGTCCCAAGACCGTGCGGTGACGGACCGTGCGGTGACGGACCGTGCGGTGATGTCTTGGGGGATCTCGAGGTCACCGCACGGTCTGTCGCCGCACCGTTTCGGGACTCCCGGGGGGGGAGGGGGGAAGGGGGGGGAGGGCGGGGACGGGGCAAGGGGGGGACGTGGCAAGGGGGGGGGGGGGCGGAACAAGGGGGGGGGGGGGGACGGGGCAAGGGGGACGGGGCAAGGGACAAGGGGGACGGGGCAAGGGGGGGCGGGGGCGGGGGACGCAGCGGCCCCCCACCGGTCACTCGTGGCCGAACGAGGCCCAGTGGCCCGCCGCGGCCCAGAAGCACGCGGGCACGCTCTCGAGGGCTGAACTCGCCGCTCTCTCGGCGATGCATCGCCGGTTCCAGGTCGACGTCTGCCCCCCGGCTGGTCGCCTCCTATAGCGCTCCCCCGCAGCAGTCCACCCCGAAGGGCCACAGGGCCAGAGGGGGGTGCCCAGGGCAGTCGCGTGGACCTCGCCCGGGCTGGACGAAAGGCCAACGCCGTGCCTACCATCCGTGGGGCCTTTTGTCCAGGTGGCGCAACAACAATGGTCGACTAGGCGTAAGAGTGACCTTTCGCCAGAGTGACCTTTGGTGCCAGCACAGATGGGCCCTCAGATGGCTGAAAACGAAGCGGTAGCAGCGGCTTGCACGCCCAGGTTTGGTCTCCCCACGCCCCCCAAAAAGCCGCGCACCAAAGGTCACTCTTACCCAGGGTCACTCTTGCGCGTAGCCGAGACTAGCTGTTCGCCGCGGGCCTTCTGTCCAGGTGGCGCAACAACAATGGTAACGGCGAGTGCTTTCTCCCTCCCCGCTGTTTGTTCTGCTTTTGGAGGCCAGTTCCCAGCTCGGGGACCGTCCAGGAGGGGGTCGGCCCGGGTCAGGACCATATTGCCATTGCAGTGCCGGGGGCGAGGGGCTGCTTGCTCTTAGGCAGCAGTGCTTGGAGTCGGGCTCCACTCTCTGACATTGTCAGCCGCCGTGTCTGTGTTCTCGCGGCAACTGAGGGTCGAGGGAGACCCTCTCTTCCGACGGTTCCTTCATTTTGTTACATCAGCCCCTGGGGGTCTCGACCCATCCCGCGGGGTTGGTTTTCCACGTTCAGACATTGTCCAACGATCCAATGGCCGGGAAGCGACCGTAAGACGCCGAAGACGTTCAGAAATTTACCGTTACTAGTGTTTGCGTCGCCCAGAGCTGAGGGGAGGACTTGAAGAAGGCAAGGGCCATCCGATGATTGAGTTTTAGCTGATGTTGAATGCGAGTATTTGGCTGTTCTTTGGCCGCCTGGTATACAGTGTGGGCAAGCGGCTACCGTGTCAAGGACAAGGGGCATTGCCCCAACGTCCGCTACCGCTGGCTGCGCGGTCCGGTCATCAAGCCCTGCTTCTTCCATCCGCACAAGATGTCGCAGGTCTCCTCATCGTCCTCTATCTCCTGCTCATCCCCATTCCTTGTTCTCATCGCTCAGATCCTTTTATAATCCTTCAGCAATTATATACAGTATATAACGGCTGGCTTTATTCCAGACCCATCCGCGCAAGGTGTGGCAGGCCTCTTCCTCGTCCTCTCTCTCTCTATATATATATATATCCTGCTCATCCTCATTTTTCGTTCTTGTCGTCCAGATCCTGCAAGAACCCTTCAGCAACGAATCTTAAGTACACGACTCTTGGCCTCACTCCAGACCCCCATCCGCACAAGATGCAGCAGGCCTCCTCTCCGTCCGCCATATCCTGCTCATCCTCATTCCTCATTGCCGTCGTCCAGGTCCTGTTAGGACGCTTCAACAATTCAAATGCATGTTATGACGCTTGACCTCATTCCAGACCCATCCGTACAAGATGTAGCAGGCCTTCCCCTCGTCCCCCATCTCCTGCTTATCCTTATTCCTCGCCCTCATACTCGAGTTCCTCCATCGTGCTATTGGTTTAATCCTCGTTTAATCCTCGACTTCGCTCAGGACCAGGCCACGTCTGGCCCCAGGCAATTCCCTAACGAAGAGTGCCGCGTGGGCCATGTTGAGCTCTCCATCAAGCCCAACCAAAACAAGAATGCTCGGCAAACGCTTGCGCACATAAGGTGTTCCAGCAAGGGCCTTGCCCTCCAGGATCGAAGGAGCTGTCATCCCTTTCTCCGTGGAAGGCGGCGGACCGTCGGCGGAAACCCGCGGAAGTAAATCGAGGATGCCTCTGCTGGATTCCGCCAGCGGAAGTCCGGCGGAAGCCAGCGGAAGTAAACATCGGCCTCCCAATAGTTGGCAGCCGTGTGGGGTTGAGGATTTCTGGAACCCGCCACGTGCCAACATTATTGACAAAAGATACTTGGTTTCTGCATGCCACGTAAACTCTATCAGACATTGTTTGGTCTGCAGGATAAGCCGTATGCCAGCTTTTTGTGCGTGCGCGCATTCGTTTCTGTCATAAGGATCCATCGGTTTCTGACAATCAAAACGGGCGCCCCAGCGACTCCAAATGCCGCCAGCCCAGACCAGCCCAGACCAGCCCAGCCCAGACCAGCCCAGACCAGCCCAGCCCAGACCAGCCAGCCAGCCCAGACCAGCCCAAATCATCCCAAACCCGCCACTCTGCAAATCAGCCAACCAGCAAACCCGCCCACACGCGCCGCCTGCCCTCCGTCACTGCTGAGGGGGGAGGGGAAGGCGGCTCCTACCAGGCAAACTGGAAGGACAGTGCTATCGCCGTGCCTGGCGGGGCGGCCTGGATAGGACACATCGCAGAGCAACTCGAAGCACTGCCCCCACCTCCGTGTCTTCAGGGACGGTCCCAAGGGCAATGCGATCGTTACTTTTTCAAATTTGTTGGCGTCCGCTCTCCAGACGGAGAGGGTGACAGACCCAGGGAGGAGACGAAGCGGGTCTTCGAGAGGAGACGGATGAGACTCTACGACGTACCACTTTGATGATTCGACCAGGCCCGTTGCTACCCCCGCGAGGGGCCTCACATTGCATCTTCCAACGCTTGCGTCACATTGTTTTCCATGGAAAACTTACTCGACGTTGGACTCCTCCGTGCCATCCTGATGAGATCGCACCGCGCAGGGCACTCGCGCTCCCCTCACATGATACAACCAGCATTTGTTGCATCGGCTCACGCGTTGCCAGGCCCCGTGCCCCACTTCAGCCGAGGCTTCGGGCATGAATGAAGAGCTTCATGCTCCGAGCGGCTACGAAATGGTAATCGTGTATGACTGGGTGGGTGCGCTGGTCTTGCGCAGCATCTCGGCGTTCAGTTGTCCGCGCTATACCCCGCCCCATGCTTAACATGAAGTGGGACATCTTACCTCTCAAGACATGAAAGAGTTCTGGGTGGCTTACGAATCGTTTTATTCTCCTTTCACTCGCATATATACTCTCGCCTTGTTATTTGTTTAAAAGAAGTTTCTCCGCATCCAGGGTGTGCCGACGGGGTTCTTTTCGCCATCGCTCGCTTGCGCGCGCTTAAACCACATAGGCGCCGAGTCACCGCCCGGACGCAGAGCGGCAGGCGACCGATGTAGAAAAGTGTACGTACGTGATCGTGCAGGCTTGCAGGGGCTGGGCCCCGATGGGATCGCAGGCGGGGGGGGGGCGGCCGGGTCGCCCTGGGCGCGGGCATCCGTCGCGGTCCACATCGCGACACCGCAACACAACGCATAGCATTCTGAAGCGTGTCTCGGGTGGCGTACTTCGAGATACTCACGGCACGTATCCTCTGCGCGTTTTGGTTCGGTTGGATTTGTTGGGTGCCGATCTGATTGCGTTGTACAGTTCCACCGTAACATAATATAAATTATATCCGCATGGTGGTATCGTAACGTTGGTCCAGTCGACGTGGTACTATGCCATTGTATTCAATGGCAAGTTCCGCTACGCAGCGATCTGGCAGTCATTTGTATCCCCTGCTATACATGGTCACGCTTGGTTGCGACAAGCATGACGATTTACCGCGATTGCCATGATAAGCAATGCGTCGATGCGCACTCTCAGCGTGTGCGATGCGGCCACATTCGGTGTGCAATCCAATATGGTGTGATGTGATCTGATGTGGTACGTGATGCTATTACCTGCCATGCTGAGACCGCTTCTCCTCTGACTCGCTCCTCCTTCCCTTCCTTCACCAGTCATGTTGTCTCGTCCTCCCTCTGTTTCATACCCTGCGCGTTTCTGCAACGGCATGCATGGCTGTCCAGGCTCTGATTAACATGTGTTGCTTTGTCGTCTTACACCTTCCCCACCGCCTCGCAAATAAGAGTACATGGGCGAGGTAGTCATGCAATCAACTGTTAGGAACCACGCGTTCCCTATTCCGAAAAGATCACCTGGGCTTCTGGGTAAGCCTCCCATCGCGTCGACCATCAGGTCCGGCATCATTCCTTCGTCTGCCTGGCCCAGCGTCTTCTCCTCAGCCCCGGCGAAGTGTCAAATACATGTTTGCAGATTTGCGCGGCAGAGGCGGAAGCATTGTTCGGTGTCTTGTCGACCTTCGCGAGGAATGTTGCCCAGACCTCTTTGCGTCAAGCTGCGTTTCTTCTTTCTTGAAGCAGCTGACACGTATGCAAATACAGGAAACGCATCAGAAGGTACCCCACATCATTTTCTTATCCCCCGGCTGGCCCCAGAGGTCCACAGAGGCCCTTGAGCACCTTAAGCCGCCCCTCCAAAGATCGATGACGATTGCGCCCCAAAAGTTATTGCACCAAGATTTCTTATCGTACGGGCGTGCTGTGTGGTGAACCCAGGTCCAGGACGTGGCCAAGACGTACCAGAGTTACTGCTCGAAGGAGTGCTTCCTTCGAGGTTGGCACAACCTGCCCCAGCACCTGTGGGGCCCGAGGGCCGACGAGGAGCGCGCTGCCCCTGACCCTCCTGCGGATGGCTGTTGGTTTCCGTCGTGCTCGTTTTGCTCATCTCCACTGATGTCCTCCCCTCCCCCTGTAGTCGCGACGGATTGCTTTTGTTGGCCAATTTTCGTCGAGAGGCTTCGGCACGCCCCCAGGACTTTCAACTGACGGCTTCAGGATGAAAAGTCGGCTTTTCGGAAAGATGTCATGCCTCAGAGGAGCCACGTGTTGAAACATTCACGGCGTCGGGTATTCGTGTTTTCTCTTGTCTGTCCTAATCATAATCATCCCTCCTGCTGCTGTTCATAATGCTTCTGCTCGCTCCAGATCCTGTAGAGCTCTGTCCTGCCTTGATCAAACTCCCGCTCGCCCCTCCGACCACCCGACATCTGTAACTTTTACTCCTTTTTCCTCCTCCTCCTCCTCCTCTTCTTCCTCCTCCTCCTCCTCCTCCCCCTCCTCTTCCTGCTCAAACGGTAGTCCTGCCTATCGCACTGTTCCTTTGCTTGTGTCATTGATGTCTTGCCTCCGCCGCCGTTTGCAGGAAGCTTCCTCCCGCGCCCGCTGTTCATCGCTCGTAGACAATGCTTACATTCCGCTGTTCATTCCGCTTGCGGGAAGCATCCTTCTCCGCACGCATATTTCTTTAATTGGGTGGGGCAGCTCACGCTCCATTGCCACGGCCGCCATTTTCTTCCGCGCCTCGATGGCCATGGCGCTACCCTTCCGCCGCTATCTATGCCGCTTTTCATCCAGCTGCCCACCCTGCGGTGGTTCGCCGACCAGCTGCGTACCGAGCAAATCGAGGACTGGCTCATGTGCGACATTCGGAACACGCGGGCGACCCCATGATCAAAGGCTAGCAGTGAAGAGGCGACTCGTGTGATTGTGTCACAAGGTCGACCACCGTGGCTCCGGCTCTTGGGCAGCCTAATTCCGCTAATTGGGATAGTTCGACCTCCCCCGCAGCCGCAGGATCGCCAAGCGTTGCGGGCCCACGGTCAAGGCGAGGAAGTCGAGCACTCTTGCAAGTGCCGCTCCAGCTGGCTATGTCAGCTGAGCGCCCGCGCGGTTTTTCTTTGGCTCCATCAAAAGTCTTGAGCGCGGTCAGCAGAGCGCTCATCGCTGGAGTTTTAATCGCGGGTGCGGTCAGTAAATCATTCACGCAACGCGCGGCGGACTTGTTTGAGCACCGGGCTCGGACGGTAGTCCTGCGTATCGCACCACTTCCTTGCATGTGTCATAGCTGTCCTGCTCTCGCCGCCACGTGCAGGAAGCTTTCATCCGCGCCCGCTGTTCATCGCTTTGAGACGCGTTTGACATTCCGCTGTCCATTTCGCTTGCGGAAAGCGTTTTACGCTCCTCACACCTATTTTCTCCTGTATCGTCTTCGTCTTATTCCTACTCCTCCTCCTTCCTGTCATTCTGTTCCCTTTACCCTCGATGTTTCGTGCTGGTGCTGACCCTCCATCGCCTTCTCTGTTCCTTCTCCTCTCTTGCGTTTTGCTTGCTTGTAGTGAGGCTGTTCTTCATCCAATTTTGCATTTACACTCGAGAAGGTGTTCCCCCGACGTGAATGGTAGAGCGGATGTTGGCGAGGTGGAGAAAGGCCCGTGGTTTCCCATGCCTCCTCCTCCTTCGTCTCCTCACCCATTTTTTATTCGTCCCTGCTTCTTCCCTCGCCCTTCCCCCAAATTACTCCTCCCCGTTCTCCTCGCCCTTTTGGTTTTCCTTAATCCTCGCCGAATCCCTCCCCGCATTCTCGGTCGCCCTCCCTTCTAATTTGGGTTTCTTGGAGGCCTCTTGGAGGTTATGGGGCCTCCTGGCCGCCTCCTTGGGGTTATTGGGGTCGTTTGGGGCTGCTTCGGGGCCCTCTTGATTTTTTTGGAGGGTGACGTATATCGTGTTTCTCATGGGACCCACTTGAGCCGTATTGAAGGCCTTTTGGGCCATCTTGGGGTCTTCTTGAGATTCTCTTGGGCTCTGAGATCATCTTGGGCCGTCTTGTAACCATCTCTGGCCCATGTCAGGTCGTCTGGGACTGTTGGATGCCCGAAAATGCGAAGACGCGAACAGAAATAAAGCCATGACTTTTGCAAAACTGAGGCAGGACTGGTAAGAGAAGAGACAAACAACATAAAACCACATGAAGAACAAATCTGTTGGTTCGAGCGGTCCCCACCAGAGAACACGGGGCGAGACCGGGATGGCTGGTACCCTTGGGGCCTGCCGGCCGCGGCATGCAGTCGTCATTCGTCGACGACGCGAGGCGGGATACCCAGGGAGCACTGGCACCATTCGGCCTGGCAGCCGCGGTACGCAGGGTGTGCGAGGCGGATCGGAAGCCCTTCATCTAGCAACCCCACCTTGTCTGGCGGGGAGCAAGAACAGCAGTCAAGCAGGATCCTTCACAGCGGGATCCCCCAGAAGGGGCCAGCGGATCATTCCGGGCAGGTGTTGTTCGACGCGAGTGCCCCAGCGGCCATCGACTCGGAAAAAAAAGGAGACGTCGGAGGTGCGGGTCACTCCTCCCTCCCGTATCCCTCCTTCGCTGGAGGTTCTAGCTCGCCCAGCGGCTCTTTATCCAACATGATAAGTAGTCGAATAGTGCTACGCCACGCTGTTCCTCTTGATGCCAACGTATTCACCATTTTAACAGCATGTCTCGAGATGTCATACGTGAATGGGTTGGCCGTCCACCATGTCCATAGATCAGCCACCTTTGAGGCTGTGCAAGCCGCCAGTATCCTCGCTGGAGGTCCGTATCCTCCCCCTTTCTCGTGCAGCCCTTCTCAACCATGGTCGGGTTGGACGAAATGGTGGCATATGATACGTAGGGATGGGCGTCGCCGTCGTGATCGTGGTGCGTGCTGCTCTGCTCGAGGCACGTTTCCCTTCTGTTACGTTGCGTCTTCGGTGGGGCAGCGTCCGTCCTGAAAACTGATGTTTGTCCTTGTGCCCGACGCGCGTTTTTCTTTTGTGGAGTCGACGCGAATGTTGCGCAGATTCGACGCGCATTCGACACGAATTCGGGCGGATTCAACGAGTCCGACATGGATTCGACGGGCGGCTACTCCACGATAGCGCCCACATCAGGGATAGCGTGCACCGAAGAAGCCCTGGCAGCGGGACAGCGTGCACAGAAGGGCCCCTCGCGGAGGCATCGCCTCACAGGGAAACAGCGTGCCCTTCGGAGCTCGATGTTGCACGCTGGCTATCTTTCCCGCGCCACCCGTGTGCCGTGGCCAGCACCACCTCGTCCTTGCTCGCTCGCCCCGGCCTCCTGACTCCATCCGCCCTCCGGACTCCCTCCCCTCCCCTACGAGTCGCGGCGAGGACACACCAACGGGCGCCTGCCGGCATCCTGACCGACTGAAGGCACACTTGGGGGACGCTGTCGTCAACGTTTCGGGGGGACGCGCGGATTTCGGCCAGATCTGGGGGCCCGCAGGGGCTCCAGTCCCTCGTGTCCCCGCCCTCTCCTTTGCGAACACCGCCGCGTTCGAAGATGTCGGCCCCTGCGCGCGTATATGTATATATTTACATAACTAGTTATAGGATTACACACACCTATATATATACATATATATATATATATAGATATATATATATATACAAGACTGCATTGGCGCTGCGCGCCATGCACCTTGGCCCTTTGAGTTCTGCACGCAATCGGAATGCGTGCGTGCGAACATGCGCGCATGCATGTATACACGCGCACGTGCATGCACGTTCCGTATAAATGCCTAGGTGTATGCAATATACTTTCATTGGCGTATGTGTATACAGCGTATAAATGTACATATAAAGTTATGTGTGTAAGGGTATGAACATGCATATGCAACTCGTACGGGGCATCCTCGGGCATCTTCGCTGCATGCCACGAGACCCTCAACGACTGGGTCACAATATGAAATGTCATGGGAGCAAAATCAATGAATGCTGGCATTCGGAAACATCGTGGGGGTGTTTTCGGGGCCCTTGTGGGCCGTTTTGGCGCCTTCATGGGCCGTCCTAGGGCCTTCTTGGGCCGTCTTGGGGAGCTTGGGCCCGCTGGAGCCCCCTTTGGACCCATCTTGGGCACTTCCGGGGACCTCCCATGGCCCTTTTGGGTCTGTGCTGGAAGCCCTTGGGGGGCCTCTTGGTTCCATTATGGGCTGTCTTGGGGCTCTCGTGGGCGATCGTGGGGCCCGGCTCGGGCGTCTTGAAGCTTTCTAGGGGGCCTTTTGGAGCGTCTTGAGGCGATCTCGGGGGCTTTGAAACCGTCTTGAAAGCTGATGAAATCCGAAAGGCGAATATGCTAAATTGTAAGTTTTACAAGGGAATGGGACGATTTTGTGTTTTTTGAAGGCCCCTTGGAAAGCTTTTTGGGGTGCCTTGGGGGTCTTTATGTTGGCATTCGGAAACATCGTGGGGGTGTTTTCGGGGCCCTCGTGGGCCGTTTTGGCGCCTTCATGGGCCGTCCTGGGGCCTTCTTGGGCCGTCTTGGGGAGCTTGGGCCCGCTGGAGCCCCCTTTGGACCCATCTTGGGCACTTCCGGGGACCTCCCATGGCCCTTTTGGGTCTGTGCTGGGAGCCCTTGGGGGGCCTCTTGGTTCCATTATGGGCTGTCTTGGGGCTCTCGTGGGCGATCGTGGGGCCCGGCTCGGGCGTCTTGAAGCTTTTTTGGGGGCCTTCTGGGGCGTCTGGAGGCGATCTCGGGGGCTTTGAAACCGTCTTGAAAGCTGATGAAATCCGAAAGGCGAAGATGCTAAGATTGTAAGTTTTACGAGGGGAATGGGACGATGTTTGTGTTTTGAAGGCCCCTTGGAAAGCTTTTTGGGGTGCCTTGGGGGTCTTTATGTTGGCATTCGGAAACATCGTGGGGGTGTTTTCGGGGCCCTCGTGGGCCGTTTTGGCGCCTTCATGGGCCGTCCTGGGCCTTCTTGGGCCTTCTTGGGGAGCTTAGGCCCGCTGGAGCCCCCTTTGGACCCATCGTGGGCACTCCTGGGGACCTCCCATGGCCCTTTTGGGTCTATGCTGGGAGCCCTTGGGGGGCCTCTTGGTTCCATTATGGGCTGTCTTGGGGCTCTCGTGGGCGATCGTTGGGCCGGGCTCGGGCGTCTTGAAGCTTTCTAGGGGGCCTTTTGGAGCGTCTTGAGGCGATCTCGGGGGCTTTGAAACCGTCTTGAAAGCTGATGAAATCCGAAAGGCGAATATGCTAAAATTGGAAGTTCTACGAAGGGAATGGGACGATTTTTGTGCTTTGAAGGCCCCTTGGAAAGCTTTTTGGGGTGCCTTGGGAGTCTTTTGGGCCGTCCTGACCTCTTGGAGCGCTCTTGTGCTGCCTGGGGCCTCCCTTGAGCCTTTCTGATGACCCCCTCGGATCGCTCTGGGTCTGCTGGCAAGGCGTTTGTGGAGACCCGGAAAGCCGGGTGACCTTTTCTAAGGACGTCCAAGGGAGCCCGAGAACCCCAGATCCCGGGGGTCAAGTTTTTTTTTGGGGGGGGGGGTGATGGTTTTTCCCCCCCGCCGGGCTTGTAAAAATATAAGAAGAGGAATACATAATTAAGACATTCGCTTCGCGCCATGCACTTTGGTCCTTGAAGTTTGGCATTCAGGCGGAAGGGCGCGAAGGCATAACAGGACAGTTTGCGATACATCCTTGTTCCTTTTGCCAACATCGCCGTTCTGATAATGCTATTCGTTATCCGTCCCTCATGCTCCCTCTTCCTCTTCCTCATTCACGCCCTGCCCTGCGGATTCTGCCCCATCCTCCTCAGCTCTTTTTGCATAGGCTCTTCCTTGGAGAGCCTTGTGGGAGCCTCACGAAAGTTTTTGGGCTTCCTACGGCCTGGTCTTCTAGGCGCCTTCTGGGGGCCTCCGGAGGCTTCCCCAGGCCACCTTGCTTCCAACCGCAGTCTCACTTTACGACCGGGTCGCGCTTCGGGTGGCTTCTTGGGGACATCTTGGGCCGTCATGAGGCTTTCTTCGGGCCATCTTGGCGGCTTGTTGAGCCGTCTTGAGGCGCACTTGGACTCTTTCGGGTAGTTTTGGATTGATTTTCAAACTTCTGGGCGGTCTCGGACGCCCAGAAAACCGAAGTTCAGAACATTCCCCAAATCATACAAGCAAAGCGTGGAAATACATGTTTTTCTGCCTTTCGAAGGCCTCTTGGGGGTCTTCTTTGGGTCGACTTCGGGCGTCTGGTGGGTGTCTGGGGCCTTTTGGGGTCTCTCGAGGGCCCGTTTGGCCGCCCTCCTCACAGAATCGGGCCCGCTGCCTAATCCCAACAGGGGCCTCCAGGAGCTCCGGAACGCTCGGGGGACCTTCTGCAGGGGCGCCCAGGGGCCCCCCCCCTGGGCCACAGATCGACTAGACGTAAGTGTGACCTTTCGCTGGAGTGACCTTTGGTGCGGGCCCAATGGGGCCCCCCGACCGCCGAAAACGAGGCAGTAGCAGCGGCTTGCGCGCTTGCTTTTGGCCCCCCCGCGGCCCCCCAAAAGCCGCGCACCAAAGGTCACTCTCACCCAGGGTCACTCCTGCGTGTAGCCGAACGGATCTTGGAGGGTCCGTTTTTTTTGGGGGGGGGGCCGAAATCCCCGGCTTCAAAGCATAGAGCAGGGAATGTTCACATCAATACAACTTCACGCGCGGCGCCGGGATCCGACCCCTGCTTTGAAGGTCAGTTTTCCTAGCGGATCGTTTCTAATCATGAGGCCCGCCCGCGATCTCCGGAGGTCGACGTAGAGGGATTGGTCCTCTTCGGGCCTCCGCACGGCTGGGTCGCCGCTTTGCTCCGCCAAGAGCGCAGTGTACAAAACAATTCTGCGCGCGGCAGAAAACATAGAAAACATGAAACATAAAAAATAAAAACAAATAAAAAACATAGAAAACTAACAACAAAAACAATTCTGCGCGCGGCGAGGAGACATCGGAGGAGCCCATTGCCGAGTGGACGGTCGTGGCGACGACTAGGAGCTACTGCCCCAGCCACCAGGACATAGACCGGCCGCTGCGGCTGGACATCTCCCCGATCCTGAAGGACGGGACGGACTCGAGATTAGGGAGCATGTCAATCACGACGGGCACCGTGATCCCGACGCCGAAGGAGGCGCGGACGCGGCGCATGATTAGCAACGGGGGCACGTTCAATGCCGAGTGGCTTAGCAAGCAGTTCAAGGTGATGAACTGGAACGTGCTCGCGGACCTCTACGCCACGGAGTCCGTCTACCCTTATTGTGAGAAGTGGGCTCTGTCGTGGACCTGGCGGAAGCACCTGATCCTGAAGGAGCTGAAGTCGATGACCGCCGACATCATCACACTGCAGGAGGTGCAGAAGGATGCATTCGATGACTGGTTCAAGCCACAGCTGGCAGAGGCAGGGTACGAGGGCATCTACCAGCAGAAGAAGAGAGATCCGATCTTCCACCGGGGCAAGTACACCGCGGAGGGCTGCGCCACGTTCTACAAGACGACTCGCTTCAAGAGGGTCGACAAGCAGGTGATCGATTACGACAAGCTCTCCGCGAGCGAGGCGCTCCGTATAGTGTTCTCGCTTGCCCTCGCCATTGCCTCTTGGTCGTGGGTGCGCGCAGTCTCCCCTCCCCCTCCTCAGCCCTAGACGTCCGAGCAACTGTCTTGTCCCACGTCGCCGTTTGTTTGCCAAGGCTTCCGCCTCAGGATCAACCTTCGGTGCCTGGGACAGGGAAACATCGATCCCGGGCCGGGAGGCCTGGCTTGGATTGAAAGACGCACGCTATCGCATGTCTGGGACCTCTTATTGCTCTCCCGTCTTCTTTGCTGCCTCGTCTTATTCTGGCTTCTCCTCTTGCTCCTCCAACTTTTCCTCTGTTTCGTTTCTTCCCTGTCACGCCACAATCCTCTCTGTTCCTCCTGATCCCCCTTCTCGGAGGAAGGAGACGCGACACCACGACCACCATGGGGGGGCACCGTCGGCAAGGTGGTCCTCAGCGCTTCCCCGAGCTGGAGACTGGAGATGTCTCCTCGAGCGGGGCATGGGCACACGCCACCCAGAGGCCTTTCCTGGGTGCCCTCAAGGCGTGGGCTTAATTTTTTCGGAGCTCCGCGCGGATTTTCGGATCGGCGCTGCACCCCCCCGTCCCGGCGAGCGACGCGCGCCGCCAGGAGGGCCCAGCGCCGCTCCATTCAATCCGCGCAGAGTTGTAGAAGTTTACGTTAATGCCGCCAGTTGTACTTCGATCCTGGCAGCGGAGGTGGTGTGGCTTGTCCTCGTTACCGCTTCCCCTCCTCCACGCACCCAGATGTCCGGCGTTGCGGTCTTTTCAAAACGTGGCCCCTCAGAAGTATGGATCCCTTCCCCAGGACCGGCTTTTCATCCTGAGTAGTTGTTTGACGGTCCCGCGGTCCAGTGAGGCCCCCCCCCCAGAGACCGAAACCAAGCAAAAGTTGTTCGATTGTTTTTGTTGTTTCAGCGCGAGGGTGGCAGGGTTCTTTGTTCCCATTGTTTCTTTGTTGCTGTTTCCCTTCCTCCACTCCTGTCCTTCTGCGAGCAGAGGTCGGCATGCTGGAGGCCAACCCGCAGCAGGTGGACAAGTGCCTCCAGCGGTTCTGCAAGGGCAACATCGCCCTCGCGGTCATCCTCGAGGACTTGCACATCAAGACCACGCACAGCAGCCAGGTTCTTGTAGATGCCTTATTCCCAGACCCCCTCGCGTCGTGAACGAAACTCACGACTGGAAGATTGTTGATCATGTTCGGCCTTTGGGGGCCGTCGCTGGGCTCCAGAACCGTCGAGTTAAAACGCCGGTCCCAGGGAATGGGTCGAGACATCAAGGGGCCCATGCTGGCGAAGATCACAACGTCAGATGTTTGGCTTGTTTGGGGGAAGGATGGTGTCCCCCTCCCCCATCTGCCCTCCTCCCCTCCGGAACCTTCGCGGGGCGGGGGGGGGAGGACTCGTCGCCAAGGCTGGCCCCGGCCCCAAGACCCGGTCAGAACGCGCTCCAGGAGAGGTCTTGGGGCTGATTTTGAGGACGAGGAGGGGGAGCAGGGGAACCCAGTGTAAACCCAAGACCCATCAACGATGTTGCAATAAACCCTCCCTCCAAGTTCCCTCTTCACAGGTCGCTACAAGGATCCATGTTCATTGAGGGAAGTGCCCCGTTGGAAAACAACCGTCTGAAAATCCTGAGCCGTGCCAGGACACCATCCCTGATACTTCAACGCAGCGAATTCACGTTACTGTTGTGTCCGGACGATCCACCACCCGGCCAGAACACCATTCTTGGGACCTCAACACCACGAAACAACGTGTCCGTTGCGCCCTGGGAGTCTTGCATCGTGCCGAACACCATGTCTGCGACGTCACATGCTCGAACAAACAAATGCGCGCGGCGCTAAGGCGAGAGCCACATGTTGAACAGGTATCGACCTCCGCCTGTGAAGCTCTTGCAAACTTTTTATACGAATGTGCGAGGCGCTCAGGCGAAAGCCACATTTTGAAAACGATCCCCCCCCCATCCGTGAAATCCTTGCAGACTTTTAAGACGAATCCGCGCGGCTCGAAGGCTAGAGCCACATTCTGAAAGCGACCTGCCCTCCATCCGCGAAATTGCTGCACCTCTGAGGAAGTCTCACATGAAACGCCCGGCCCGCCCTACCCACACGTCTCGGATCGCGACATGGAGCAATTATTCATAAGGAGAAGGGAGGGAGGAGGAGCAGGAGGAGGAAGAGGAGGAGGATGTTTCAGCTCCCCTCCTCCTAATACTCCTCTTACTCCTCCTCCCCCTCCTCCTCTTCCTCCTCTTTTTCCTCCGTCCTTCCCCCTGTCACCCTCGCCGCCCGCAGGTGCCCGGCCCCAGCGGGGGGCACGTGCTCTGCGTGGTGAACACGCACATCCTGTGCGACCCTGGGTCCGCCGACGTGAAGCTGTGGCAGGCTTCCCGCGAGGGAGAAATGTCGGGTCGGACGAAAGTCGCGGGAGCGAGAACATGGGTTCAGGCGCGTGGATTAGCGCCTTTAGGCCTCCCATGCGAGGTCGGAGTAGACGGGATCGGAGGATGGCGCCGCATCGCCGACGCGTCGCCGATACGGCTCGATGTGGAGCCAGGTTCTCTCCGCACCGACGTCACCGAAGCATCGCCGACGTCACCGATGCATCGGCGATGCATCGGCTTTGTGGCGCGATCCTCCGACCCCGTCTAGTCGGACCCCATCTTGGAGGCTTCTAGATTATCGACGGGGCTCGATTCCCCACAGAATCGGCGCGCTCCGTCGCGGAATCGGGCGGCACTGGCGTCATGTAGCTGGTCGTGTCCTTCCCGATCCGCGGATCTGGCGCCCACGGACCCAAGAGTCATCTCAGCGTGTGCCCGAGGGCACAGACCCCAACGTCATTATTGCTCATGACGTGGACCCCTGGAGGACCCGAGCTATTCCATCCTGAGTCGTGTCTTGACGGTCCTGGGGGCCAGTGAGGTCCCCCCCGAGCCCGACAACTGGCAAAAACCTACCACCTCTTTTTTTCACATCGCGAGGGGGTCTGGAAAAGGAGGGGTCGGAAAAGGGGGGTCTGCGAAGTCTGATGCGTGCAGTTGGCTTGGGGCCCCGCCGCCAGGCGCTTCCCTTCGACAGACTCCTCGGCGCCCCTGGCGCGCCGAGAGGCGCCTGGAAGACTAGCTGCATGCAGCTGAGTCGCCGACCCTTTCCTTTTGCCATTTCCTTCTTTTCGCCCGCCCCGATTCGGAGGAAGAAGTGCCCGTCAGGCCGTTGATCGAACAAAGTTGTTCGAGGAGGACAGTTGTTCGATTCGGAGGAGGATCGTTGTTCGAAGTGTCCGCTGATCATGGAGGGTCTCGGTTTCCTTGCTACTGCTGGAGCCTTGGGCCCCGGGATGCTTGCCAGCAGCCGGTCGTTGTCGAACGACCCCGGGGACGGGGTCCCGAGTGTTGCCCCAGGGCGGCTGCCCGAGGCACGGGCCATGACCCGTCGACCATCCGCACGGAGAAGCCCTTTTCCTCTGGGCATCGCGAGAAATCACGACGGGCCTTCTCTCCCTCGCTCTCGGGCCCCAGTGCTCTCGTAGTCGGTCAAGTCCGACGAGGCCGAGAGCCCTGTTCGCGATTGACGCTCGAGGGCGTCGTGCGAAGACGTGCCAGGGCAGGCATGAGGCAGGGAGGGAGGAAGGACGCGGAGGAGGAAGCAGAGGGGGGGGGGGGCGGGATACACCAGGACACCAGGGCAGACTGGTCATCGCGAAGCCCTGGCCGATCGGGGGTCTTTTTCGCGGCGCCCCGTCGATCCCCGGGCCGAAGCTCCGTCGCCCGCTGCCGGCCGCAGCGAAGGGCACCCTCTGCGCCCCATCTCGTCGTCGGAGCCCCCTCGGCCGCCGAGCGCGCCCTGGGCTCGAGCTCCCCCCCGGGCCGGCGGCCGCACCCGCGAGGGCGGCGCCGCCCCGCCGGGAAGCCGCGGCCCCGCCCACTCGGCGGCCGAGCGGGCTCGGTTTTGCCGCCCGCGCCGCGTGCCCCGGGGTGGCGGCCCGCCTGCCCGGCCCACCGGCACGGGGGGGGGTGACGGGCGTGCGAAGCTCCTGAAGACGGGGCGGGGGGGTCCCAGCGCCGATCCGAGAAGTCCGCGCGGACCTCCGAGTTTTTACGTTTGTGCCACTTGTTGTTCCCCTAGGGGTGGGCACGAGTGGGCATCGTCAAGATCAGAAGAGGCATCGTGGCCTCCTCACTGACCGTTTGCATCGGCACGCGTCTCCTGCGTGCGCGGCGTGTGCTCCCCGCGTGTCGTGGCGTGGCAAGAATCGCCACGTGAGTTTGAGTTCGCTGCTTTCGGCCCTGGTGGCCCTTGCAGGGGGGCGAGGGGCCGTCAGAGAACGGCCTGGGATGAACAGCTGGTTCTGGGCCAGGGTTTTGTCGAAGTCCGTCTGCGCGAGGAGTGGAGAAGGAGGAGGAAGAGGAGGAGGAGGAGGAGGAGGAGGAGGAAGAGGATGAGGATGAGGAGGAGGAGGAGGAGGAGGAGGAGGAGGAGGAGGAGGAGGAGAAGAAGGAGAAGAAGGGAAGAAGGAGGAGGAGGATGAGCAGCAGTACCAGCTGGGGCAGCACGGTGCGGAGGAGGGAAAGGAAAGAGTATGACTTAGGCCGGCACGTGGGCGGCAACACGCAGCGACGACGTCGACAACGACGACGGAGGACGAGCAAGAAGCGGAGGAGGAATGAGGACAACGCCGAGGTGAAGGAGGTGGACGACGACAACGAGGGCGACGACGCCGAGGTGGATGACGGGCGCAACCCCCCCTCTTCTGGTGCTGCCCCATGAGGCGCACCTGCTGCTGCAGACGCTGAAGGCCGGGCGGACCGACGCGTCCGCACAGAGCGCGAGCACCTTTGCGTGAGGAGGAGGAGGAGGAGGAGGAGGAGGAGGAGGAGGAGGAGGAGGAGGAGCAGGAGGAGGAGGAGGGAGGGAGGGCGGGAGGGAGGAGGGAGGGGGGAGGAGGGGGAGGGAGGGAGGGAGGAGGAGGAGGAGGAGGAGGAGGAGGGAGGAGGATGAGGAGGGAGGAGGGGGGAGGAGGAGGAGGAGGAGGAGGAGGAGGAGGAGGAGGAGGAGGAAAGGGAGGACTGAGGAGATTGGCGTAGGAGGAGGAGGAAGAGGCAGAGGGAGAGATGTTGGGGGAAGGAGACGACGGCGATGACGACGACGAGGGCGACGAGCAGAAAGAAGAGAAGGGGATGTCCTGGGACGAGAAGGAGGGCGACGGCGACGGTGAAGAGGATGAGAGGAGGGGAGGAGGAGGAGGCAAGAGGGGGAGATTGAGGTGGGAGTGGAGGAACCAGGGGTGCAGGTGGGGGCGGAGGGGGGGTGGAGGAGAAGGAGGAGCGGGCACGAGGCGTTGGAGGCACGATGGCGAGGACGACGACCATGATGCGGAGGAGGAGACGAGGCGCCAGGCGCCTCGCAGCAGTGGGGGTCCAGAGCTGCTGTCCGCCGATCTCGAAGTCGCGGGGGGCCGTATCAGGGCCCTACGACTTCTCTTGCCCCTCGACCCCTGCTGCAGGCCTCAAGTCCTCTGCATGCTTGCATCCCCGCCTCCAAAAGGAACTCCATAGACGCATCCTGCGGTTACAGTGACATGTTGATGAACGTGGCGTTGGGAGGAAGCACACGATTCCCGACTTCTGTGGACTTGCGTACCAGGGTCTCAGTCGAATCGCATCGATCTGCCACGATGTATCTGGCCTGATTCCCGCCGGTCCACTGGCGAGGATCAGCCAAGCCCTCAGGGAAGGGGGGCGAGCAGCCGCCCACTGGCCTCTGGGTGTGGACGGCGGGGGCCCTCTCGGCGTGGGGAGAGGAGCTGTCGGCCAGAGCTTAGGGGCCCAGGGGGAGACAAATACATCGGCGCTAATCTCATGATCTTCCGTATCTCAATGCTGTCTGGGTTTTCCTGTGCCTTTCCAGGTGCAGAATGTCACCGTGTGTTAACGAGCACCCATACGTTTCGGTGTTTTCGTTTCTGCTCGCCAGCGTGGACCCCAAACAGTGTGTTTCTAGCCACCTAGGTGGAGCAATCAATTTGGAGCAATACATGTGGTGCAATCTATGTGCTGCAGTATATGTGGTGTAATATACGTGGAGCAAAACATGTGGTGCAATCGATGTGATGCAATCTACGTGGCGCGATCTATGTGGAGCAATATATGTGTTGCACTTGAGTTGCAATATCGGTTGTGGAAGATACGTTGTGCAATATTTGATGCGCAGTCTATGTTGCGCATGCTAACCCACCCACCCACCCGCAACTTTGGTTTGCAAAGCCCATGCGGCGGCGATTGCGATGACTGCCCGGCGCTGGCTGCCGCATCGCCGCGGCCAGCGCCAGGCTCGCGCGCAGAGCGGCCAGCTAGCCTGACGCGCCCGACGCGACCGCGGTGGCGCTGACCGCTGGGGACTCCCCAGCACGTCTCGCAGGCCGCGCTGACGTGCGGGCACGTCTGTGCGAGTCGGTGACTCGGGCGGGCGCGGTATCGCGGCGACGTCGAAAACGGCAGACCGATGATGGTAGTAGCGATGGTGGTGACGATGATGCCAACGGCGCCGGCAGGGGCAACGACGGCGCCGATGCTGAGCACGGCGATGACGACGGTGGTGTCCTCGCGTCGGTGGCGGAGGTTGCGATGGGAATTTCGACGTGCGCGCGGCCGACGCCCGCGAGTGGTCCGTGTGCTGTCCACTGACAGGGATCGTGCCTCGCCCCCCCCCCCCAAGCACGCGCAAGGGATCGGTCTGCTCGGACCCCCGCCCTCTCTGGCGCCACGAGCAGCAGATCGGTGCGGCATCCCTTGCCGGGAAGTCGACATACGGTCAGGAGCGTTTTTTCGGGCAGGCTCGTTGGTGCTCAAAGGCTTCTTCGGCTCGGGATGCTTTCCAGCAGCTGCGCCTCGCCGAGAGCTTTAGGGGTGCGCGCATCGCCCGAAGCATGACCCGGAAGCCGCCAGGCGTCGAGGGTGGTGAGGACATGCGGTCGCGGGAACGCTTGCTTTGCGTATCGATCTGCTGGTTCTGGCCAACCACGTTTCGGCGCGACGACGCGCCGGCCATGCTTTCAATTCCCAGTCGTCAGCGTCCTGAGCCTTTCCCAGCCTCCCGCTTTGGGAGTGAAGCGACACGCCATCAGCTCGCAGGGCATAGCGTGTCGCCGGGGGTCGCAGCCGAGACACGCTAAGCAACAGTTCTTGACCGTATCCGAGACCCGCACCCGCGCAGCCGTTTCCCCTCGGAGTTTTTGAGCAGCGGCGCGTCCCAAAGGCCCCTCCTTGCGGGCGAGAGTTTTTGGGGGGACCCGCACCCGCTTGGCCAGGTTCCCGCACCCGCTCGGCAGGTCCCAAGCGTAGAGCCTCCCCCCCGGTCTTGTTCTGCGCTGTGGGGCCCCTCTCCGGCCCCAGGGCCGTCACAAAAAGGACCCGGGGCGAAGCACAGCCCTTGGGGATTGGGCAGAGAGCTCCCGCGGGGCCAGCGTCCCGGACCTGGGCCCGCTCTGGAGCGGGCAGCCTCGAGGGCAGCGCTTCGCTTTCGGTCTGGACCCAGGGCCCCCCCGGGGACTCAGGGCTCCTGCGCTCCGCGCTGCCCCCCGCGATGCTGGCGCCGCACTTCTTCGCAACAGGCGATTCTGCCTCGCTCCCGGTCCTGGGGCCCTCACGGATCGATCCGGCGCGAAACATCGGCGTCACCCCAACATTTTCATATTATGTGTGCGTCGCCCCCCCAGGGGCTACGCGCACACCGAGAAATGTTATAGTGTATGCGTCGTGGCGGGAGCGTTCTGGCCACACCGCTCGGAAAACGATATACCATAATATAGGTATACCATATGTTCGGGTCGGGCGCGTGCCTCCACGGATAACATATACTACAGCGCCGTTTTTTAATACATGCTCCGCGTGCGGATCATGTATTAAACATGCAGGGATTGACCATTAAAAACAAAGATGAGTTCATGCATAAAATTATTCATAAATTAATCATGTATTAAATCCAATGTTTTTGAAACATCCCGTGTATTAAAAACTGCCCTGTACTAGTATGTCTCTGCGAGTCCCAAAGCATGCCGCAGAAAGATGATTTTGTGTCTCTCCCGTGGCGTCGGCTCTCAGGGGGGTGGTCGGGGGTCGGAGCGCCGCCGGCGTCGAGGTCCAGCGCCCCCCTTCGCGCACGACGTGGGCTCGGCTACACTTTTTGATCTGCGGGGCGAGAGCGAACCTCTTCCGCTGGAGGCTAAGCGGGCCGCGCACAGCATTAATTTACAGAGGGGGGAAGGCAGAAGGAGGGGCCTCACGTCAAGGCCAAGAGAGGGCAAAGCCCCGGAATCAGGCGCTGGGCTCGGCTACACGTCAGAGTGACCTTTCGCCTGAGTGGCCTCTGGCGCGGGCCCACTCAATGGGCCCGCAGTCTGGGGTCCCCCGACCGCTGAATGCGAGCCGACTTGGCGAGCCGGCAGCAGCGGGCCGGAACTCGACGGGGGACCCCGGTCTGGGGTCCCAGGACCGCCGAATGCGAGCCGATAGCAGCGGCCAGCGCCTTTGGGTGTGGCCCCTGACCGTGCCCCCTCAGCACTGCGCACTGAAGGTAACTCTTGCCTAGGGCCACTCTCTCGGACGGGGCCAGGACGATGATGAGTCCGTTCCAGAGCGCTCCGGAACGCTCTGGGAAGGCCGCGGAGCCCGAGACATCCTCCAGATCCGCCGAATCTCAGAGATTGGCGATTTATCCGCACCCGATTTTTTTTCCTCGCCCTGGCTTCGTCTAGCAGTGGGAACCCATGCCAAGAAACACCCTGCTCGCCTCCAGGGTGTCCTGGGTTTCGTGGGTTTCGGTGGTTTTGCGACGGGAAGCGTGACGTCCCCCCGACCAAAAGTCAATGGGCGTCCTGGGGTCTCAGGGTTGGGTTTCTTGTGGCAGGTTTCTTGTGCTCGAGCTCCTACTGTGTGGCGGACATCGCGACGGACGGTTCTGGATTGTTTTCGGCCTCTGTGGGCCCCCCCCCCCCCGCCGGGCCCCGGCACCGTCAGAAACCGACTCGGGACGGCAAGTCGATCCCGGGGAAGGGGGCCCCACGCGCGTGAGAGCAGAGCACGACGTGGGCCAAGCAGGACAAGACACGACGTGTGGTGGACGGTGTCTTGCGGGCGAGCTCCTGCTGCACTCCTGCGCGTCGCCTGGTGGGCGCGGGGGATTCTGCGGCGGGGCTGCCCCGGGTGCGGCCGCGGCCGCACCGCCGGCGGCGCGGCGGTGGAGCCCCGCGGCCCGCGGGGGGGGGTCCCGCGGGCCTGCGGCGGGGGCGGCACACTCGGGCCGGCGGGGCTGCGCTTCGCCAGTTCGTCTCCATCCTCCTTCTCCTCCTCCTCCTCCTCCTCCTCCTCCTCATCCTTCCTCCTCCTCCTCCATCCTCCTCCTCCTCCTCCTCCTCCTCCTCCTCCTCCTCCTCCTCCTCCTCCTCCTCCTCCCCTCCCTCCTCCCCTTCCTCCTTCTTACCTCCTCCTCCTCCTCCTCCTCCTCCTCCTCCTCCTCCCCCTCCTCCTGTTGATCCATACGCTCTTCGAGTAGCGGCAGCAGACTTGGCAGCAGTGGCGGCGGCTGCCATTGAGATCGTTGAGCCCACGATACCTTCCTGGAGGGTGGCGGCTCGCGGCCTCGCTCGAGCACGTGAGGTGCCTCCTGCCCGTCCTCCTCCTCCTCCTCCTCCTCCTCCTCCTCCTCCTCCTCGTCCTCCTCGACCTCCTCCCTCGAAGGGGGGGAAAGTACCAAACCCGCTACCCTCGCCTCGTTTTCACAATTTTCGGCCTCCTAGGAGGACCTCGTCGCCACCGCTGGATTCGCATCGAAAGTCTGGTCGAAAGCACCCCAGGAGAGGTCAAGGGAGTAACGGTATCGGTACCTTTTGGTTTCCCTACTCCTTTTTCTCCTCCCCCCACCCTCCCCCTTCGGAACGATGCTCTTTCTTCATTCTGGATTCACGCGATGCGGGTAGCAGCATCGCGTGTTCCAGCAGTAGCTTGACCTATTCGAGCACGCTCGGCCTCTTCCTCCTCCTCCTCTCCCTCCCCCTTCGTCGTCCT